TGAAGGCATTCGGGGCCAGCCCCCCAACCCCCCAAAAAATCCTTCAGCACAGACAGCTGTTAAGTTCACTAAACCTAAACACACGTAGATTACTGTGTGCAAATTACTCCTTAAAGTTGATGAGAAAGCAAACAATTTCCTCTGACACTCTTATTGACACCAGAATCAAGTTAGCAAGCGACTGCCGCTGGCATCATAATTATCAGGGAAATGATGCTGTTATGTGAATTGCTGAGAAAATGGTGGTACGGCCCAAAGATTTCTACTTATCAAGTGTGAATCGGACGTACGGCAATATGCTACGCACTGCATACATACGTCTCCGTTACTCTTCTCTCATTGCTGAGACAAAATACACGACACCCTGAATTAAGGAAGGAAAGGTTTATTTAGCTCAAGGTGGAGGTTTCGGTCCATCCTAGGCTGGCTCCAAGGCAGTGACACAGGCAGAGGGCAGCTGTTCATGGCTTCAGAAAACAGCAAAACAGCAAGAGCAACAGGGAGGAGCAGCACCCCAAGCCTCTCCCCTCCCCTACTGTATGCAGGCTGCCCGCCACAGGGCAGGTGCGCTCACACCCATAATGCCAGCGTTGGACCGTGAGTCAATCTCAAACTCTAGGAGCTCACTCTATGACTGCATGAGGCTTTCGGGAGACACCTAGACACACAACATACTACCTCATTTAATTCTAGCAAATTTGGTGAGGTAGTAATTATTATCTATCAATGAAGAAACAAGTCCAAGAGATTTAAGGAACGCCTCAAAAGTCTCCCAGGTGGAAAATGGTAAATTAGGATTCAATGATGAATCTGGAATCAGATGGGGTGATTTTAAAGACCGTGTTACTATTTCTTACAGTACTTAGGTCATCTACAGAAAGATAAATCCCTGAATGTGCCGAGGACAGGAAAAGTTCCTAGAGATTACTTAGGACTGGTAATCCTCTCACACAAAGAAGCAAGTCTTTTTGAAAGGAACCTGGGGGACAGGGTGTGGGGCTGACTGTTGCCTGTACAGCCAAGGAAAGTCCTCTCCCTTGGTTCCAGCACTTGCTGATATTTTGTTAACTCTGGGCTCCTCCAAATTCACCCACCCACTGGTTTCCCAGAGTCAAAAAGTCAAACTATCTTGGCTGAACAGGCGAATGGATTGCAGATGACAGAGGTTAAAAAAAAAAAAAAAAAATCTGTACTATGTTTCTTTGAGCTGTCTGTCTCATGAAACATTCTGTTGTCTATATTTTCCTTCATCACAGTGGAAAATGTTAGGCAAATGGGTCACACTGAAAGTTTAAGTAAATCACCCGTCTTCCTACTCAGACCAGCTGTAGTCCATCTCCCTTGAACCTTGGCCAAAAGATCAAGGAAAACATGGTCCGAACCACAGAGCTGGACCGCAGAGGGAAACCCAGGAAACAAGGGTCTGGAGAGGAAGATCGGGAGGGAGACCAGCACTGGGACTCAGAGGACTGACCTCGCTGTAGGATCGCAATCGGCTAAGCACCCACGAACCTCTAGCAAGCTGCTTTCTGTCTCAGAACCTCTGAAGAGTGGACTGATCTGTTTTTCAACTTTTATCTAAGGCCCTTCATTTGTAACCAAAAATAGCAAGCCTTAAAATTCTCATGTACTTCCTCTTTGGGAAAGGCTCTGCTGCCTGTTTATTTCACAAAAGCCAAGCTTCACTTTCTGAAATCCGTATTATAAAAAGGCAGCTTTTCACTCTCTCACTATAAGTTGCAATATAAAATAAAAACTTTAAAAAAAAGAATCCTAGGCATCCACTGATTCTGTCATAATCTTGAGCGTGGAAGTGTGGCGCTGTGACTGCACCTCACTTCCATTCCTGCTGCAGCCTGGCCACCTCTGCTACAGCTCCCAGCGCCCACCTCACCCAGTAAGCACTCGCCGCCGTGACCTGTTCTTCTGTGCTCCCTTAGCAAAAGCCTCCTCCCCACGCTGTGCTTCCCCAAATTGGTTCTGGTAAGCAACTTTGGAAGATAAAAATTGCCTAGATATTCTGAACAAGGATGTGTGAGGAATACATGACCCAGCAGGAAAACCAAAACGTCCCCTCTTGCTTCCACTGCTGTCCTAGGAACAGGGACGGGAGGGAAGTTGGAGAAGATCAGCTTTTGGAGGAACTTGGCCATGGTACTGTATCCAGCCACTGACTGAGGAGACAACCGTCAGCTCAAACCGCTGCAGAGGGTCAGAACTGCTCTAAAATACTAGGGTTATGGCCTGGTGTTGTGTCTGTATTTCAGGCTCATGCTAGACACCACTGAGCCTCAAGTATACGTTCTCCCTCCCCCTCTCCCTCCCTCCATATACAATATATATAATACATTCTCCATCCCCTCAAAGAAGTGGAACCCTTTATTTCTAGATATGAAATTTTGCATAGACCCATAATACACAAAGTAAAAGCAGGCCTGCTCTGGAGGTAGGGGTCCAGGGGAAAGCGCTCAGCTGCCGCCAGCCTTCCCTCAGGCCCCTCTCTGGAGTCTCAGGGCCACAAGGAACACTATTATGTCTAATGACTTTGTCGATCCTCTGCCTGAGGTTCCTACTGCCTGCGGAGAATACAGATAAGAACCCAGGTGGCTGTACCTGTAGTCAACTCAGTAGGCTCAAGTGGATGCTTTCAGTGTTTTCCTTTGTCTTCACATTTTCTCCTTCAGTGATCTCATTAGCTCCCAATGCTTCTACACAGACGAGACTCTTACCTTATGCAGTTAAAACATTCTCTCCCTTCTTATTAGCAAAATATCTAAAGACCCTGGTGGGAGGAAATAAGACATCCAGGCATGCACATGAACCTAGAACTCCGGCAGCAGAATCCAAATGTTTGGTCTGAAAATGCAAGATCAGAACTCCAGTTCCCAGAGCACTGGTGAGAGAAAATAATGAATCCTAGTATAAAGACTGCGGAATTAAAGCACAAAGGCCTAAACCTTGGCAAGGATTAGACCAAAATGAACCAGGCAAGATCCTGTTTCAGCTGGGGGTGAAAGCCTGGCGGACTAGCTTGAAGGCTGACTCCAGGCTGATTCCCAGAGCTCCAGGTCAGGCTCTTCAGTTTCACCCCATCTCACCCTGTTATGGACTGAAGGGTTTCACAGAACCTGTCATAAGTCATGTGAGGACACAGTCCAGCACGATGTCATAGCATAGCAGGTCTGGATGCCTTATAAGCTGCCAGATGCTGCTAACTTTTAGAGTGTAGCTCACTGCGAGACCCAGTGGCCATTTCTCCCTTCACCCCTAGCACAGGGGTAATATTTTTTTTCAGATACTAGCGGAGATCCCAAGATCTCAGGGGAAGCAGGGACCTCTCCCAGCCTTAGCGACTGACTCACAATTGGTCTAAAGCAATTATGTAAGTCCCATTTCACTTAGCTGGGACTAATCTAGAAAGATGGGCATGTGGGCTAGTTATAGACCAAAAAAAAAAGTAGTTTTCTGGACTGAGAACATGCTTGAGCCATTGGAAGAACCCTATTACATCCTGCTTTCTACTTTGCTAAGTGAACATCAGCGTTCTTGTAATGTAACTCAGTACTGGTCAGACTTTCTGTTAACTGCATATAAAAGCTTTCCTGACCCACTAACTCATGTGAGAACTAGATCAAAACCATGAGTTTCATGTCTTGTGACCCATATGACTGTGAGGTCACACAGTATTTTACCTCCAACTTTAGGAGATTCTGATCAGTGGTTCTCAACCTGTGCTCCATTCACGGACCAGGAGCATGACCTCACCTCAGGGTTTGTTAAAAGTATACAGTCTCCAGCCCTACACTTGATTTACTGCATCAGAAACTCTGGGAAGGAGACCCACCAGCCTAATTCATGAGGTACTCTAGTTGATCTGACTTACACTGCAGTTTGAGAATCATTGCTCTGAGTCCAGCTTCATTCCACAGAAAATTCTGTAATAATAGAAACGTTTGTGTATTAGCACCTCGCCCAGAGGCCTAGGTCTACGGAGTACTGTACTTACAATACAACCAGGAAACTGAAGTTTTAATTGTGCTTAAGTTTTAATTTATTAAAATTTAAAGCCGGGAATAGTGGCTTTAAATTATAATCCCAGCACTCTGAAGGCTGAGAGAGGAGGATGCCTGTGAGTTTAAGACCAGCCTGGGTCACAAAGTAAGCTCAAGGCCAACCTGAACTGCATAGCAAGACTAGTGGCTTTTTACAGAACAAATAAACATAAGAGATATTATGTTATCAAGTAGCTGCTGGTACTGAACTATAACCTAAGCCAATGGTTCTCAAACTTAAGCGTGCAACAGAATTACTAGAGAGGCAGGTAAAGCAGAAGAGCCCACTCAGAGCTTACAATCAGGGGATCTGGCTTGGCTGAGAATCTGCGTCTCCTGTAGGTTCTCTGGCACAGGGGTCCTGCTGGCCAAGGCTGACACTCAGCCACTGAAACAAGCAAACCTCACTTGTGCCTGGTCTGTGCCTTGGGCACAGCAGGTCCACAGTGCTCCTGAACGATGCCACCCTTGACAGATGACAGTTTCTGGAAGGGTCTGCTGTGATCCACAATTACCTCTTCATAATCATCAGATGGCAGGCTGCAAATTTTGTCCCATGGTCTTCATTCTATTCCTCATTTTTCTTTATTTTAAAGTACTAACTCATAAGTTGTTCAGATCTTAGCAAGCACAAGCTGTGAGAGAGAAAAAGAGAGATACAGACAGACAGACAGACAGTAAAGAACTTCTGAAAAGCAAATATTCAAAAGCCTTAACAAGACAGTGGTGGTGGTACAAAAGGCAACAGGCTTGATATTCTGGACAGGAGACATACCTTCTCACATAGTACCACATAGGAAACCACACAAAAGACTAGGTTTGGCCAACAATATAGCTTTCGAGAATTAATGGGAAAGGCAAAAATCAAGGACACATACACAAGGGACTTTTCTGAAGGTCAAAAAGGCAACAATAAATATCAAGCCCAGAAAAGCTTTTAAACCTGACCTTTTCTTCTGCTGAAGCCATTCGCCATCCAGAGTCTTCAATCTAATAGACTGAAGTGGGCTGAAATGGCCCTTAGGAGAGACTGGGCTGGCTGTTCCCTAATGCCGCCTCTCCACCGCGACTTGACTTGAGCAGCAGCACCATTACGGGTAATGACATCATTATGCCATAATGGAGCACATGCCGCGCAAGCTGAGCAGCACACAGCTCCCCCGCCGAGGAGAGGAGGAAGGACTCCCTCTTCACCGTCTGATTTCTATTAACCCTTATCTTCAAAGACAAACCACCTTAAGGACATTTCACAATCTGAAAACATAGAATATGGGAGGTGGTGCTTGGCTGGAGACGCGGAGTTCATGCACCAGGGTAGTGGAATTCCTCCACTGGAGGAGGGCTTAGGAGGCCTGCCTGCAGTTCACTACACAACAGTGGGCAGGTTTCGCTGTTCTCACGGATAAAGAATGGCAATGCCTCTGGGTAGCAGATCTCAAAATGTCCTGGCAGGCAATTTGGGAATAGAATGGAGCTCTCCCATCCAATTTTAAGATGCTTTTACCTAAAAAGACCCCAGGAAAAGGAGATAGGAGCAAAGCAAAATACAGAAGGCCAACTCTGTTTGCTCTTCAGCAGCCGATTAATTGAGGATTCTTGCCTCCAATATGAAACATACATGAAAGTTGGATCAGGCTGATCAATGTTCCTAGCCTCTCTCTAAAAGCACAATCACAGGACTCCTCAAATGGCCACAGAACACCTCCCCACAGAGCGCACACACAGACATACAGGGTATATCATGGAGAAGTGAGGCAACTGAAGCTCCAGCTGTCATGAACTCCTGCTATGGCCCTGACTCATTTCTTAACCTCTGCCAACCTGCCCTTAAGACTTCGTGGTGAGGAGTGAAGGGTCAAGAGCCCAAGTGGCTCACAATGTGGATGGCTCTGCACAGGCTTCAAGTGCACGCTCTGCTCAGGACACTGAGGCACTTGCAGAGGTGGAAGTCAGCCCAAGAAACAGCCAGGTGTAAGACAGAGGAGAGGGCTTTTTAAAATGATATTCTCAGTATTTTCCCATTCCTAAGAGGGCATAAATACCTCACAGACCTCAAGGAAAGAATAATAACCATATATATTAAGTGATCCATATTTCAGAATTTTCCTTTTCTAGTCATAATGGGTTCCTTCCAGTTGTCCTCTGGCCCTACCTAAAAAGAGATGTTGAGTTATAGCAGCACAGCACTCTTGTATTCTGAATGATCTCCCAAAAAAAACTACTTTAAAAAGCCAAATGAAATAATCCTAACCATTAACTTTTAAAATGCATTGTGCTGAACTGTCAAGAAAGCAAGCAGGCCAGGCACAGGGCACATGTGTGTAATCCCAGCACTTGGGAAGCTGAGGCAGGAGGACTGCTTCAAGTTCAAGGACATCCAGAACTACACAGAAAGACTTGGTCTCAAAAAAACAAAAATGCATGGAGAGAGAGAGAGCAAGCAAGCAAACAGATGGCAAGAGAATCAGAGGTTCAATCGCAGGAAGCTCTGACATTGTGCAATCCTTCCTGTCTCAAAACAAAAAATAAAAAGGGCTGGACAATCCAGCTCGGTGTCAAGCCTCAATCTGCAGGACTACTCCCCACCCCCACCCCCAGAATAATCTGTAGAAAACAAAAATTAAGTGAAGGGAGGTGGAAATGACTGAAATCCATTGACAGTGAGCAGATAAACAGAATGTGGGGCGTGTGTACATATAATACATATCACATTTCACAACTTCCCTGTCGGGATATTACTGTGCTTTAGCAGGGAATGGGGTTCTGACACATATTACAACATGAACGGACTGTGAAGACCTTTTATTAAGTGAAATCAGGCAGTCACAAAAGGACAAATATTGTATGATTCCACAAACACGAGATCCCTACAATAGTCCAGTTACCAAGAGACAAGAGGCAGCACGGTGCCTGCCGGAGGTCAGGGCCGCCAGAGCGTGAGCAGTCACGGCCTCACAGGCATCTCGGTCTTGCGATATGAAGAGCTGCGGCAGCAGATGGTGGTAATGCTTGTACAGTGACGTGAACACTATTTAATGCTACTGGACTTTTCACTTAAAATGCTTAAGACTGTAAATATTATGTATATTTTGCAAAATTAAAAACATTTAAAATGAAAGCGAAAGTGGACAAGGAGGGGACACTACAGCCATCTTTGCCATGAGGCCACATGAGAAACACCAGTGGCAGCTGCAGGGACCGGCTGGAGTACAGGGAAGAGCCGAAGCCCAAGTCTCGCAGAGGGCGTCTCTTTGTAAGGGGGGTGCAGTCCTCAGTAGCCAGACTGGCAGTCTGGCTGGCAGCTACCTCCCTAGCAGTGACAGTAAACTCTGAAAACTGTAGGACAACATTTTCAATGTGTTCAAAAACAAAACAATACTCGATGCAGAAGTCTACAGTCAGTGAAAGCTTAACAGAAGAAAAACATGTAAAAGGCAAAATAAAGATATTTTCAGATGAAACAGATTAGCACAGAAAACCCTCACGCAGGGCAATTCTAAAGAGTTATTCTGATATTCTGTCAGAGGAAAAGCAACCCCAGCTAGAAGGCCTGATACAAAAATACTGGTAAGTACAAGGGAAACGCCAAGCACCAACAGTATGAAACAAGAAAATTACTTGTGCTTAGAAATAAACAAGACAGAAGTAAAATATCAGACAAGTGAGAAGAGTCATCAAAGTTTTAAGAATTTTAAGACTCCAACATTATTGAGAAGGTGAAGGCAGTGAGAGGAACGGCGGTGCCCTGACTGGTATGTCCGCCATACCCTGATCACGGGAAGCCATGGCTCCCATCTGAGGGCCGAAGACGTGATTACATTAAGGACTTGTATAATACACGTGGGCCCAGCAATTACACGTGTTCTTCCAGAGATGGGGCTGGTGTCGCACACCTGCAATCCCAGCACGTGGGAGGCTGAGGCAACATGACTGCTGAGAGCACTGGAGTTCAGGGCCACTCGGGGCCACACAGTGAGACACGGAGGGAGGGAGGGAGGGAGGGAGGGAGGGAGAGAGGACAGAGCCAGATGCACAGAACATAGAAGGCACAGACAAGAAGGAAACAGCGACCACAGAAATAGAAAATGGAAGGATGTAGCTACAGCCAAGGACTACTGGGAAACCTGGAGCCAGTGGAAGCCAGAAGCACCAAAATATCCTCCGCTGGAGCCTTAGTGGGCACTCAGCCCTGTCACACCTTGACTGTGGACTCCAGTCTTTCAGGACTGCAGGAGAATGCATCTCCACCGTCAGAAGCCGACAAATTCACGGTCACTTATTACAGCAACTACAGAAAGCTAATACAGAGAATCAAGATATAACTGTAAGGCAAACTGAAATATGGTATATGTGCTGATAAAGGGCTCCACTTTCTCTAAGTGAATTATACTGAAGCATACTGTCACATACACAGACCAAGCAATGGAACTTAGTAGATAGTATGTCCACAAAAGGTCACTAATGCATCTAACACGTATATAAAGGATAGTAACAGATCTAAGACAGCATTTGAGACTTGAGATTTTAAAGATATTATGACAAATAAGGTTTAATCTGAACCACTAAGCTTCACATTTAAAACATACGAGAGAGAATGTTGGCTTACAAAAGGAATACAAAGTAGAAGCAATGAAATAGTTTTACTCCTTGGACTAGCAGACTAGTGGAAGTCCCAAAATTTGATAATTATCTTGGACAGACAGGAAAAAGGCATTCTGTTGCTCACAGGAGTCCTTGGCCCTTTGAAGGACAAGGTGACAAAATCATATATAGTCTATCAAAATTATAATAATGTAAGTAGCCTTTATCTGGAAAAATTTCCATTCTTTATAAATTATCCAGCCTCAGATACTGTTATCACAGCATAAAACAGAAGTTTGTCCTAGAGATAAGCTAACACGTGGGCACAGCGGCATATGTACATTTTGCAGGATGTTTAAAGAGAAAAGCTGAAGATAATACAGATGTCCACCCATGAAAGCACATACACTGGGCCTGTGCCATGTGCTCTCAGTCCCCGCTCTTTCGGAGGCTGAGATGGGGGAACATATCAAGATCCTGCTTTTGCAAAAACAAACAAGAGGTGCGAGAAGAAGGAGAGAAGAGGGAGTGAAAAGGAGGAGGAGAAGAAGGGGAAGAAGGTAGCAACAGATGCAGTTCCACTGGGCTATTTATTTATTTTTATATTTGTATTTAGAATTTATTTTTATTTTTAAAATGCCAGTGTACAGTTTTTAAACCAAAAATTTATAATGGAAGTAACAGTTTCTTATAGCCTTGCACCTCAAATCCCACTATCCTAGAAGATAATATTTTCATAGTGATCTTCCTATTTTCAGCTTCCCAAGTGCTGGGATTACAGGAGTGTACCACTACGCACAGTCTCAGTCACCATCTCAGCACATCCCAGGGGTGAGTCCGGCACTGCATCCCAGGGATTGAACCCTGGTCCCTGTGTCTACCTAAGCAAGCACTTTAGTCCACTGAGCTATTTGGTCGGTCCAGGTCTTGCCACTGGGCTATTTAAAAGAAAGGCACAGAGAAAAAAAAATCTTCTATATCAATATGTTAATATCAGGATATACTAAAGTGAAAAGTACGAAGTTGTGCTTCATGCTAACATTTGTACAAAAATAAGTTAATAGAATATATATATTTTTTCTATGTACAATTTGTATTAGAATCTATAGGATTATATACATATACTAGAGATAGGTAGACTGGGCAATTGACTAGAACTGACCAGACAGAGGCAGAGGGATGAAAAGGAGACTTCTCAAATATTCTTTTCAAATATTTGATTTAAAAGCCACGTGGATGTATTTTTAATTCCATTTAAATTTTTAAATAAGTATGGTCTTAGTGTATTGTGTGCTGCAGTAACAGACTGTCTGGGCCCAGGTAACTGACGAGGAACAGAGGTGAGCCGGGCCGGCGCCACCCCCTGTAAGCCCGGGGTTCTGAGAGGCTGAGCAAGAGGGCAGCAAGCTGGACCTCAGCCTGAGAAATGAGCAAGACTCTGCCTCAAAACACAAAATATACAAA